GTCTCGAACCCATGGGCTCAGGCAATCCACTCACCTTGGCCTCCCAAAGTGCTGGGATTACGGGCTGAGCCACTGAGCCTGGCTGAACCTATTGTTTTTAATTAAAGTCAGGTGCCTTGCCCTGGCCCTGTTCTGTCTCCTCCTTTGGTGAGGTGTGAGGCCCTGTTTATGGTTGGGGTCAGCTGGGCCCAGAGCCCAGTGCTCTGCCCCACCCTCATTGCGCTGCTTGGTTTTGCAGGAAGTACCCCCCACAGCTGGAGGCGTTGCTGGACCTGAGGCAGCACAGTTCCCAGGAAGCACCATCAATCTGCGGGACCTGCAGTGACGGCAGCCCCTTCCAGAATATGCCTTCCTGGAGTCTTGGATGACATGACCTGTGGGTTGGGGAGACCCCTACTTGGTTTCCATTCAGAAGACCAGCCTAGTTCTTTTGAGACTTTGGGTGCATTTATTGAAGATGTTTTCCTTCTGTTTCGCCAGGAGCCTGTTTGGGTTATACTCTTTGAAACTGCCTTTGCAAGCAAAGTGTTTAAGTGGAGCAGGGATTGTTCTCAGCGAGGCTGCACATCATAGCTCTCCCATTCCCCGTTGGATCTGAGCTGTGCAATATTTGTTGCATTTAAAAAAAAAAGATTTCTGCAGGAAGTAGGGTAGAGTTCAGGCCCCCTAGTCAAATACAACTTGATCTGTGGTAAAACCAAGTGAGGTGTTTTAGCACTTTGCAACTGAGATTTCCCATTCTCCCTTTCTGAGAGCTATTGTATCAGGCCGCTTCCCAGCACTATGGATAGCATTTGTGGGTGTGTTGGTTTTGCCACACTGGAGAGCCAAGGTAGTCTCATTGCTACAGCGAAGCCAAATTTTAGCCCATGTCTGGCTGAGCAGGCGGGCAGCTAGTTTTAAGGAAGATGATGGTGTGGGAGGGCCACCTCTGTGGCCTGTGGGTGAGCCTCTTCTTAGACCTTAGAGTGCAGAGTTAGGGATGGTAGAGTTGAAAGTTAATTTTTCTAAATTCTGTATTTGGGCTTATATATTAATGGCAAATAATAACTTGACAGTGGTTTATAAAGTGATGTTTTGGATGCTATAAATGATGTATAGGGCTGTGATAATGGTTTGTGTATGTTTTGTTGTTGAGGTTGAAGATGTGCATATAATACATCAAGGCATGTTTTGATCGAGTGAAACCTGTCTTACAAAAGGAGACAGGCTGATCCCCGAGCACATATTTACTTGTTAGTTACTGGACTGGACATAGGGTCACTCAGAAATGCTTTTTTTCCTTTACCTTTTGAAGTGTGTGTTTATTCAGATGCAGTTTTGGTTCTCAGACTAGGAATCCTCAAAACTCTTGCTCCTTTCTTTGTTTCTTGAACTTGGGGGCTTGGGTTTTGGGAATGACATCAAGTCTGAGCGTGAGTCCTGCTGATTGATCTGAGGCCCTGTCCCCAGGTGCTGCTCCCCTGGAGGAATTCACACCCCATTTGTAAATGGGTCCTTTCCTTTCCGTGCTGTTACACACAGGGCCAGGGGCTGAATGGCTCACTGGGCTGGCTCCGCAGTCCCCAGGAACGCCCTCTGGGAGGCATGTCACCGGCTTTTCTCCCACATGCCCCCCCGGAGCGCGCTCCACAGTGCCTGGGACTGGCTGCTGGTTCTCTGGGCACTAAGATTCCCTGTGGTGACAGGCCCAAGTCCTGGCACAAATGAATAAAAGTTGTAGTCATGCACTGAAGGCTTCACCTTGCTGAACTCAGGAATTGTGTGAACTGTGTTGAAGTAACTGTTCCTCCTCCATTGGTCGTGACAGCCCCCTTCATGCGCCTGGCTGGCTGCTTGCGATTCTCTTGTCCGCACTGGGGCTGATGCCATACTGCATCCCAGCGTGGAACCGGCTTTGTCTTTTTCCAGGCAACCATTTTAGGTGCGAGCCCAGTTGCTGCTCTTTCCCTCCAGCATGCTTAGGGTTAAGGGCTAGAAGGGAGGGACTTGAGACTTGGTGACAGGGGCTGCTTCCTTGAACAGGCCTCAGGACACCAGGGAGACATGTGTTTATTCAGGGAGTAAGGGGGCACATAACAAGAGACCAAGAGGTCTCAGTCTGGGCCCACTCGAGACCCAGCCCAGATTCTCTGCTGACACCTTGGCTAAAAAGCCTTTAGCCAGACCAGCTGTGAAAGTTAAGTGAAGAAATACAGCAGCTCTTCCTTTTCCTTGTCCATCAGCATGTGCTCAGACTCCTGCTTGGTCTTGGGGGCTGGAGGCTGGGAGCGACATACCAGCTTCCTGCCTTTCTGCAGAGAGAATGGACCTGGTGAGCCTGTGCTCTCCATATTCCCACACCAGGGTGTCCCAGGGGTGCTGGGATGCCCACTCACTTCTGCCCCCAGCCTGGCAGGCTGAGAGCTGGAGTGACTGTGATGACCTAGGAGTGTGGTCTACCCAGCGTTTACCAGGCCTGCCCCATGAGCACCACCTCTCAGATGGCGGCACTGGGGATACCTGGAAACGGACTGGGAAACACTGGGCTACTAAACAGAGTGAGCCCATTTCCTTGGCTGTGGGCATGCTGGAGACTCTGCAGTGTTTGTCCTTCCCTGAGTGGTGGCATGGAGTGCTGGCCTGTTCAGCAGAAAGCCTGCCAGCCTCATCAATCTGTGGGCCATGCTCGGCTGTGGGCCTGCTTAGGGACCCTGCTTCCTGGTGCCAGGGCCAGAAGGCTGGTGGCTGCTCCAGCCATTCACCATGGGGGTGGCGGCCTTGGGCCCCAGTGACAGGCAATGAGCTTGATTTGGGATCTGGTTGGAGTGGGGGTGGGACAGACCCAGGGGCTGAGCAGCTCCTGCCAGCTCTGTGAGGTGACTGCACCTGGCTGGGGTGACCAGGCACAGCTGAGCCAGTCTCCACTGGGAGTGTGTTTGCAGGAAGGAGGAGCCAGCATGGGCCTTGGGAGGGCAACTTTGGGGAGGACAGCCTGGAGAAAGCAGGTCCTAGGAGAGGAGGGCAGCCTGCAGGCCAGTGGGCCTGGCAATAGGAGCACCTGCTCCATCCTGGCCTTGCTCTGAAGGCAGCCCACCTCCCTCAGAACCTGGGTTACTGCTTGCAGGAAGGGGGGTATTGGGATCTCAGGCTGTGGGACCCCAACCCCTCAGCCTGCTGTGCTATCTTGGAATCCCCTCCAGCGGTGGCCTCAGGGCGACCTGCCCACCTTCTTCTTGATCTGGGCCTGGGCCCGGGCCCGGGCCCGCTGCAGACGCTCCTCCTGCAGCATCTTCTGCATCAGGAGCTTCTCTTCCCGAAGTCTGGGTGGAGGAGATGGCACTGAGGACTGGAGGTGCTGCCACATCCTTTTCTCAAGTAGCAGGCCAGTCTTCCCCCAAGAAAATTCCCAGCAGCCCTCCACCTCCCTTGCCAGGTCAGGGCCTTGCCACCTACCCAGAGTCAAGTACCACTGCTTCTGGCCACCATGGCTGGGGCCTCCCATGGGGGATTAGCTAAGGCTTGTCAAAGCTGAACCCCCAGAGGCACATTTCCCTGGATCTATTTCCTTGTCCCTGGGCTGTGTACTCAAAGCACCTGCCAATGTGGAGGCTTGGTGTCCAGCTAGGGCAATATCTATCACTCCTTTCCGTGTGTACTTCCAGTCATCAAACCTTTGCCCAGTGCCCCCTCCAAGGAAGGCGCCAGGGACCCAGAGAAGCCCCAGTGCTTGTGGCAACAGATGGATGTTTGCAGATGGCCGTGTCTCAGGGCCCTGCACAGACGAGTGGATGAGCCAGGCAACCTACAGGCCAGAGGAGCCACGACCCCAGCTCACCCAGCCTGTCCACTGTCCTGGCAGTTGGTGAGCTGGCACTCACCTGCCCTTCCACTTGCCTCCAGGCTAGAGTTCCTGGAGCCCTGCAGCCTCTGCACCCCACCCTCTGCTCCTCTAGCAAACTCTATTGCAGCTGCACCTAACTCCCCAGGACTCTGGCAGCTGCCTTCGACCTCAGCCTCTAGCACCTCCAGTTAACTTAAAGGGGAAGAATCTAGCCAGACCCTACCTAGCCCTGTTTGCCCCCTGCTTAAAACCCCTAACAAGTATTCCTTGTCCTCAGTATCTAGGCTGTGCTGGTCACACCCTCACTGAGCTCCAGTTCTAGACCCTGTCCCTTCCTGAGCCTCCTGACCACATTACCAGTCACTGTCATTTCCTCCAGGAAGTCTTCCCTAACCCTCCCCCAGCTGAGTTTGATACCCCCTTTAGATGCCCCCAAGTTCCTGGCTTCCATCTGTTGTAGCATGGAGCATCAGGGGCCCTGTCTACCTTGGCTGGGGAGCTCTGTGGCGGTAGGGCCAGCATCTGCCCTCTGCCCTCAGAGCTAGCTGGAGCTGGGCCTGGGACTCACCTCACACGCCGCTCCTTCTCCTTGACCTTCTCGGCCTGCTCGATCTTGACCTGCGGCATGCGCTCCAGATTCTCGAGCAGCTTGTCCAGCTGGTGCTCGATGAGGGTCAGCATCTGCACAGTGCCCAGGTTGGCCTCCTGCTGGGTGCCGATGCAGTGCTGGTACACGTCTAGCACCTTGCGGCTCAGACTCTCCAGAAGCTCATCCTGGGGAGGAGGGCAGCCTGCAGCTGGGCGGCTAGCAGGTCTGCAGCCGGCCCCCACTTGACCCACTCTGCATTCGGTCTGACCCAAGGGTACATTCGGTCTGACCCAAGGGTGGGGAGCAGCCAGTGGGCACTCCAGGGCCAGCCCACACACATCGGGAATTCAGAGAACATGAGTTCAAACAGACCTTGAAAGGCTACAGGTTTTTTTCAGCCGGAGCAGTCCTGTATGGTCAGACAGATCCTGGGTTTCAGCCCCCACTGGGGCTCATGCCTGTGCCTTGGCCCCTCCCCCAGCTGTCTCAGCTAGCTTACCAAGGCCTGGTCCTCTTCCAGGGAGCCCTGCACTGACCCTGGTTCCCCACAGGGCCACATTCTGTGTGACCCTGGGCAGGTGAACTCCCCTCCCTGAGGCTAAATGTCCCTTTCTGACATTTGGAAAACAGGAATTAGATCCTGCCACGTGGAAAGTGTGAGGAGTTGGAGACAGATGTCTCCACCCAGGCCTGGGACACAGCGAGTGCCCAGTGAAGTCCAGCCTTGTCAGGGACACACTGCGGCATCCCATGTGCCCAGCCCGGTGCTGGCACACAGCAGGCACTTGAGAGCATCACAGCGAGTTAGGAAGCTGGCCTGTGTGAGGTGCAACCCCAGCTGCGCTCAGGATGAGAGTGTGCTGAGCCCTTGGCCTACTCTGGCTCCTGCTGCCTAGAACATTATTGGCATCTGTTCCCTCAGAATTCTCTCACTCTCCCAGCCCAGCTCAGGGCACACTATTCCCTTCTCAGGGTTGCTTTGCCAGACAGTGTGTGTGCTTAAGAAGCAGACAGATTTGTTGGATGAAAGAACGAAAGAATGAACGAGGTGTGGGCAGCCCAGCCAGCATGAGCATCAGGACATAGGTGGCTCCTCCAGGTGGCACACTGTGGTTGGCCACAGAGCCCAGGAGGTGGCTGCCCTGCCAGCTGTCCTGAGGGCTGAAGGATCACAAGTGCCAGATGTCTGCATGCCCAGGAGGTCAAAAATGCTGCCAAAATGTAGGGGGGAGCTTAAGGTCTTTAACAACATTAAAGAAAATAACAGTTTTGTTGGGTGGCAGCTGCAGTGCCACCTCCCCCTCCCCCCAGGGAACTGTCAGAGCTCCTCCATCAAGTTCTGGGGCCCTTCTCTGGGCCTGGGTCACCCCACTCCTGGGCCTCTTTTTGTTTTGTTTTTTTTTGAGTTGGAGTCTCACTCTGTCGACCAGCCCAGACTGGAGTGCAGTGGCCGCTCCCGGCCACCGCAGCCTCGACCTGCTGGACTCCAGCGATCCTTCTGCCTCAGCCTTCCAAGTAGCCGGAACTACAGGCGTGTGCTACCACTCCCAGCTGATTTTTTGATTTATTGTAGAGATGAGTTCTTGCCAAGTTTCCCAGGCGGGTCTCGAACCTATGGGCTCAGGCAGGGGCCTACCTCTTGATCGCCTTGGTATTCGCCGAAGTGGAAGACTCGGGCTTTGAGCTCCAGCTCAGCGGCTGTGTCCTCCTCCTTGGTGATGGACAGCATCATTGTGGTGATCCACTGCTTCAGCTGGTTGATTTCCCTGTCCCTGGATGGGTTGGGAGAGTGGGGATAGCAGGGCAGAGGGCACCACTCACTCAGCGTGGCCCTGGGCAAGCTGCCTCTCTGAGCCTGACCATGTGGATAGTGTTGTTGCCCTGCCAGCTGTCCTGAGGGTGAAGGATCACAAGTGCCAGATGTCTGCCTGCCCAGGCGGTCAAAAATGCTGCCAAAATGCAGGGGGGAGCTTAAGGTCTTTAACAACATTAAAGAAAATAAAAACAGTTTTGTTGGGTGTAAGTCACAGCAAAATGAACATACCATAGCCTTAGTGTATAATTCAGTAGTTTTTAGTATATCCACTAAGTTATACAACCATCACCATAGTCTAATTTTAGAACCTTCTAATCACCCCAGAAAGAAACCCTGTGCCCATTAGCAGTCACTCCCTATGGTCCCCTCTTCCCCTTGGCCTTAGGCAGCCACCCGTCTACTTTCTGTCTCTGTCCTGGGCGTTTCATGAAAATGGACTCATATACCATGTGGTCTTTTGTGGCTAATTGCTTTCACCCAGCATGATATTTATAAGGTCCATTCATGTCGCAGCGTGTATCAGCACTTTGTTCCTTTGTATAGGGAGTAGTCTTCCATTGTGTGAATAGAACACACTGTGTCTCTCCATTCATCTGTTGGTGGACATTTGTTTCCAATTTTGGCTCTTGGGAATATTGCAGCCGTCGACATTTGTGTGAAGATTTTTGTGAGGACATGTTTTCAGTTCTCTGGGGTGTATGTATGTAAGAGTAGAATTACAACACTCACCTTTCAAGTGAAGTCAAAATTTAAAGAATCTTCACAATCATTATGGTACAGACACTGACCATGATACATCAAGGTTTCCTGAGTGGGAATGGCAGCTCTTAGGCCGGCAGGGGCCAACCAGTGCCCGGTAGCTGCATGCACGTCCTCGACTTGAGGACATAGACATCAACAACTCTGCCAGCAGTGCCTGAGGTGCTACCCCTGATAGTGATTTCCATCAGGCTCTCCCCCTGCTTACTGACAGAACCTTCTGACATTTTCTCTGTCTAATGTACAGTTCCACAGGCTGCTGTTCCTCCTCTGCTCCTCAGGGGTCTCGTCCATCAGCTACAGGAGTGTGGGCCAAAGCTCCCAGCAGCTCCCTATGCTGCACTTGCCTGTGGGGCCCGTGGTGGAGACCAGAAAGCTGTGAGTGTAAGGTGTTCTAAGCTCATCTGGCCAGTGTGCCTGGGCTGATTGCTCAGAGGTGGGTGGCCAGAAAAGTAGCTACGAGCAGCTCAGAACACACCCCCACCCCTAGGCGCTGGCTGGGATTCACGTGGGAAAACTGGTGAGCACTTCCTGGGTGCCAGACTTTCCCTCTGCAACTGAGTACCCTACTGCAAGAGATGGTGTTTGGGGTTAGCAGTAAGGCTCATAAAGGGTGCATGATTGCATTGTGCTTTAATCCACTTTGAGTAGGGGTTTTTAGTTCCTTCACAGTCACTGCCTTAACTGGTAAGTTTGATCCTACAGCTGGACCTGTGTTGCTTCTGGCTTTGCGGTCTCATCTTCTGTTACAGAGACTAGGTTTTCCTTATTCTCTGGTTATTTAAGAAACAGATTTTTTTTTTTCTTCTTGCTAGTTACCTTTCTTTTTGAAGAGTCCTACTGCAGTAAGTTAGCTTTAAATTGAAAATTCTTGGGCCATATATTTTCTCCTCAAAGTAGATTATTGTAGGGGTTGAAGACATGATTAGAGCAGCAATGATGTCAAACAAACAAACAAACAATGTAGTTTAAACGACCATACCACCAACTCACATGAAAACAGAGGTGTGAGGGACATGTTGCTCAGAGTTGGTCCTTGGATCAATCTGGGCGTCACCTGCACATTTGTCAGAAATGCAGTCTCAGACTTCAACTCAGGCCTACTGAATCAGAAACTTCATTTTAAGGTCCCCAGGGGATTCCAGTACACATAAAGTCTGGGAAGTACTTCACAACTTCTCAGTGACAGTTTTTGTTTTTTTTTTAATGGACTGCAAGAGAGAAGACAGAGGGAAATCTATAGGTTGGAAGGAATCTAGAGACAGCAAAGGAATGATGTCAGCAAGATGGAGGAACAGGAGATCCCCTGCTCTTGTCCACAGAAACACCAATTTGACAACCATCCGTGAATGAAGATGTCTCTGTAAGAGCTCCAGAATGCAAGGGATAGGTTATAGCACCTAGTGGAGCACAAAAACTTAGAAGAGTCACTTTAAAGAGTTTTGCTTTGCCCATGTCACCTCTACTGGCCACTGCAGTGCTGAGAAAGAGTCTATTGGCTAGTAATGTCTCCTTTGGAAGGAAGAGAGAGCAAGGTGGAACCCCAGGTTCCCAAGCATTTTGGGGTGCTTCCCAAGGGGTCCATTTCTGACTCACCTCAGCTACAGCGTTGGTAGAGTTAGTATGGTTGCACCCAGGGAAGCTAGTAACAACAACAGAAAAGTGGGGGACAGGCTCACAGCACCCTCTGTGCAGATCTTGGTGGAAGACTTCACCTGCCTGCAGACTATGGACCCTGGCAGCAGACCCTGCCCACAGACCCCACCAGCCCACTCATGCAGAATCTCTGGCTGAGCCAGCTCCAGAAGATCTTTCCTTGCTAAAGCCAGTCTGTTAAGACTGGTAGAGGCAACTACTTCAAAGATGTGGAAACTAACACAAGGCTACAAGGATCATGAAGAATCAGGGAAATATGACACCACTGAAGTAACCTAATAAAACTGCAGTAGTTGACACTAAAGAAACAGACATTAACTACCTGATAAAGAATTCAAAATAGTTTTCTTAGGTAGGTCAGTGGGCCATGCCTGTAGTCCCAGCAATTTGAGAATTGCCTGAGTCCATGGGTATGAGACCAGCCTGGGCAACATAAGACCTCGTCTCTGCAATTAAAAAAAAATATTAGCCAGATGTGGTGGCGCATGCTGTAGTTGAGAAGGTTGAGGTGGAAGGATCACCTGAGCCCAGCATGTTGAGGCTGCAGTGGCTGTGAGCATGCTACGACACTCCAGCCTGGGTGACAGTGAGACTTAAACTAAAAAAAAAACAAAAAAAAGAATTGTTTTATGGAATTTCAGAAAACTATAAGAGAATACAGACAACTAAACAAAGTCAAGAAAACAATACAGGAACAAATGAGAAGTTCAACAAAGAAACAGAAACCATAAAACAAATCCTAGTGCTGAAGGATGCAATAACTGAACGGAAAAAATTTAAGAGAGCTTTAATAGCTGACTAGACAAAGCTGAAGAAAGAATCAGTGAACTCAAAGACAGGTCATATGAAATTAGCCAGTTAGAGACTGAAAAGAAAAAAAAGGAAAAGAAAACCTATGAGATGTATGGACACCATCAACTGAAACAATATATGCATTATGGAGGTTTGAGAAGAAAAAATGAAAAGACAGAAAGCTTATTATTCTAATTTTTTAAAACTTTTTTATTTTTATTTTTAAATTAGAGATGAGGACTTGCTATGTTGCCCAGGCTGGTTTTGAACTTCTGGGCTCAAGCAGTCCTCCTACCCCTCAGCCTCCCAAAGTGCTGTGATTACAGGTGTGAGCTACCACACTCGACCTTAATTTTATTTTTTTATTGATACATCATAGATGTACATATTGCTGCATATATGTAATATTAATATTTTCATATAATTGATAAAGATAAAAATCAGTTAATTTAAATATTTGGCTTTATGCTAAAAACGTTTGAATTATTCTCTTCTAGCTATTTTTATGAGATTGGGTGCCTTCAGGGTGGTATGACTGTAGACCTCATCTAGCTATTTTGAAATATACAATTGATTATTGGAGACTCTAGTCACCCTACTAATCTATCAAACACTAGGTCTTACTTCTATCAAACAGGATATTTGTGCCCAATAATCAAGAAACTTTATTTAAAGAAATAATGACTGAAATATTCCCACGTCTGGGGAGGAAAATGGGCATCTAGATTCTTGAAGCCTAAAAATTCCCAAACAGGTGGAAACTAAGAAGTCTACCCTGGGACAGATTATAATTGTCAAAAGTCAAAGAGAATTTTGAAAGCAGCAAGAGAAAAGCAACTCGTCACATAGAAGGGAACTGCCTTAAGACAATCACTGGTTTTTTGAAACTTGTAGCACTGAAAGGGAAAAAAAAGGCTAAAGAAGAAAAAAAAAGAATGCTGTACCCAGCAAAACTATCCCTTAAAAAAACGAGCTAAAGATTTTCCAAGATAAACAAAACCAAAAGGAGTTAATTACCCACTAGACCTGCCTTACAAGAACTCAAGGGAGTTCTATAAGTTGAAACAAAATGTTGCTAAGTAGCAAAATGAAAGCACATTTTAAAAAAATCTCAAGATAGAGGCAAACATAGAGACACGGAATATTGTAATACTGTTATGGTGGCACACAAATGACTTTTAACCCTAGTATAGAAGTTAAAAGACAAAAGTATTAAGTATAACTATAAACACAAAAGATTGTAAGTACAATAAAAATTGTAAAATATGACATTAATAGCATAAGGCGGGGAGAAAGTATAGAGAAAGTGTAGAGAGGTTTTATATGTGACAGAAGATAATTTATTATCAGCTTAGAAGAGACTTAAAAGTCTCTACCATGATGCAAGTCTCATGGTAATTACAGGGGAAAAAAACTACAGTAGATAACTGTAGGGGATACAAATTGGTTTTGGTTACATGGTTGCATGGTGGTGAAGAAGTCTGGGCTTTTAGTGTACCCACCACTCCCACCTGTGTACACTGTACCCAATAGGTGACTTTTCATTCCTTCACCCCTTATTCCGTTTCCCTTCTGAACCTTCAATGTCCATTATACCATTCTTCATGCCTTTGCAGATGCTTAGTTTAGCTCCCATTTATTATTGAGATCATGCGGTGTTTGTTTTTCTCTTCCTATGTTAGTTCACTTAGGATGATGTTCTTCAATTCCACCCAAGTTGCTGCAAAAGACACCATGTCATTCTTTTTG